GATAAGTTGTTCAATTTAAAATTCAAATTAATTTAAGTTTGACTTAAATTGGAATTTGAATTTGAGTCAAAATTAGACTACAGGATAAAGGATGATTTTCTCTTCCTTCCCTATCTACAAATTGGCGCCACATAGGGATGAGAATTCTCTACGGTGGCCGGCCACACTAAGGATAAGGGAATGTGAGATTTTGTTTCAAATTCAAATAGGAGATCAAATAGGAGATAATTAACAAGCTTTATCTTAGAGATAGAGATTGGATTCCTTCTAGAAGTTTGACTTCTACTCTATAAATACTATTTTTGAGATAATTTTCTGAATGGTTTTTTGCCCTAATTTTAGAAGTGGCCGAAATTTCTCTATAGAAAGAAGGAAACATTTTTTCTCCAAAAATTTCACATCGTGCATGCGTTGGTATTTGTGGAAATTCGAGTGTTTATTGTAATCCGTTTTGTCTCATGTGTGCCTACACACACGTCTTCGTGGATTCTAGGAATTGACGTGGAAGACATTGGTTTTCTAAACACAAAGTTTGGAGCAAGGACTGTTCGTGGTCAAAGAACTCAAGTTATCATCCGAGTCAGCTTCCAGGTATTTTTCCTAATTGAGTTCTTAATAAATGAATTAATGAGATTAATTTATTCGTGCATAAATTAATATAATCTATAGAGTATCTCAAAAGTTTTATGAAAATTTTTGTAATACACGATCCGCCTCCCCGCACCACGCTCCCGCATCTGAATTCGATTCGGAGACCAACAGTTTTGACTATTAATAAAGATTTATTTATTTCATATATCTATGTATTGTCCTCTTTATGTTCATATTAGTTGAATGTATGATAAGAAAACTGAAAGTTTGAGACTGGCATTCTAAATCTTTAGGTCATGCATGTAATGTGAAGAACATACGGAAGACAAGAATCTAAAAATGATAGTCTAAATCATATGATCCACAATCGAGCAAATAAAGTTGGGTGCTTTATTCATGTTAAGATTGTTATGTTGTCTACTTCCTAACAGAGATGGCTTGTCTTGGTCGTCGGATGTGGGACTCTATGGGTGGAGACATTGATATAGTTTCTAATGGTGAAATCTATATTGGATTGGACCAAAGTTGAATTATTTCAATTAATAATTCTGTTTGAATAAAATAATTCACTTTTGACGAATTATATGTTGTCATCTTAATCCTGAGATGGATAATGAACCCGTATGCTTGACTTGTATCCTTTGATGTACTAAAGGGAGACATCCTGACATTATGTAAAGGTATGTTTACCGGTACATTATGGGTATGACTCGTGTATGTGTAGATTCGTTATTCATAGATAGTGGAATCCATGGCTCCTATAAAGAGTCAATGATATCCTCTTATGCATTATCAGTGGATTGGAAAATATGAGCGCTCGGCAATTAGACTACTCTGTGTTATCGAATGGTTTACTGTTTGTAATGGTACGAATAGTGGTTTTCTGATGGTGTGATAATGGAACATAAGATAAATGTAATCGGAAAGGTAAAACGGAACTTGACCTCAAGTCGATTATGATATCCTATGGGGATGATACACTAATATATTGAGTCATGGACGAGAGTTACTTAGGGCTTTGTAAATACGCTATATAAATCGAGAATGCAGCTCTAGGCTTTTAGTGGAGTAGCGCTAGAGTTTTATAATCATTAGACAGACTTGTTGGTTTACAAGTAGCCTTGTGATTATAAGAGCCTGATTTATATATGTCCATCGAGTCCCTTTGCTAGCTCCCATAATGTTCTGTAACGATACGGTGTATTTCCTACATATTAGTAACATGTGTTATTTCCGTAAAGGATGTTCAAAGTTAATATGAGATTGGTTAATTAATTCATGAGTGATTTATCGGGTGAATTAATTGTTAAATTAATTCTAGATAAATTGGTTGAATTGTTGTTTAAAGAGTTGTTTAATATGGGAAGACTATTATATGACTGTTTTGATCAGACACTTTCTTTATTGGGTTGCTTGAATCAAAACTAAGGCTCTGTGCAAGTTTCCTGTGTTGAAGAATTAGGAAAACAACTTTTGCCAGTACAGACAAGTCGACTGGACAGGTTGACCGGTTGTAATGCATAACGCGTGCTGACATGGCAAAACTGACTCTGTATACGAGATAAACTTTGGGAAACCTAATTGTTATGGAAGTATGACTTCCTAAACATTATAAATAGCTCAGTAAGTCACATTATTCATTAGATCACTTGAGAGACTTTTAGGAGGCTATTGACAAAAGATTCCTGAGAGAAAAGATTGTTTAATTCTCAAGAATGATTTTTCCTTTGGCTCTCTTGTGGTTAGAAGGAGTTCAAGAATACCAAAGGTAGATTGAACGACGTATGCCCACCCGCACTCCGATCGTGGAAACGAGAATAAGAAAGAAAACCAGTTGGTTGAGGCTTTTCCGGTCGCTATTTGGAACGCTTTGATCTGTCAGACGTGCAGTTTCCTAAATCTCAAAAAGGTATGATTTAGATCTTTAGTATTTATGTTATATAGCACCATGAACATGTTCTTGGTTGGCTTTGACATTGACTAAATTTTTTAAATTCCGATGCGCACTCGATGCCATTTTTTCCAACACCACCTTGGTGCAACAGTAGACATACATTTCAATGTCTATCCAGATGACCAGTACCCCCACCATTTTTATTAGAAAAGTGCTTTTTATAATATTTACATACTGTACGAATTTCTATTTCACCTGTTTTTAGATTTGGTCAGGGCTCCTCGGTGAAATGCTGTCATGCCAGAAAAGTTCGTGGTCTTTTTCCCCTGCTACGTTCTCCAGCTTCCTCATTGTGCACTGAAGCATTATCCACCAGAGCATTTTTTGGGTCAGTGGGGATGGGATTGGGAGGCATCATTTCATCCTCAAAAAATGCCTCATCATCAAGCTCAAGAAGAGCAGTGAAATCAGGGAAGTTTGGTGCAACCATTTTTCTGGAAATTGATTGAACTTGAACTTTGTAAATGAAAGAGCAAGAAAATGAGTGAACGCGAGAAAAAAGCTTAGAATCAAAATGAAAGAGACAAGTTGAGAGATATAATGAGATTGAGATGAGAAGTTAAGAGTGAATTATTGTGTGGGATTTAGGGTGGAATTAAGGGGTATTTATAGGGGATTTTTTAGCCATTTTCGGATTCTTACCGTTGGGCCCTTCGCGGGCCCAACGGACGGCCCGTGACGGGCCTAACGGGAGGCTCGTCACGTGCCAAACGGGAGCCGTTTCGCAGGCTTGGGCCGGGCCGAACAAGGGCCGAATCTAGGCTAGGGCTGTGTCGCAGGCCTTCACGTGCTAGGGCCGGGCTTGGGCCGCCGGCTGAGAAGCCGAGGCCCAGCCCTAGCCCATTACACGTGCCGGGCCAACACGGCCCATAACAGTAGCGAACCGGACCGTGCTGAATCCGACACTATTACGGGCTGGGCCGGGCCGGGCCGTTCATGGACGGCCCGGCCCATTTGACATATCTACTTTTAAGTAGTAGAAGAAAATAAATGTAAGTTGGGATTTTTTTATTAGCGTTTTGATAGTGCTTTGAAAAATACTTTTATATCTAAGAATAGCTTTTGAATCTGTTTAGGTAAAAAAATCAAAAGCACTTATTATTATAAAAAATAATGTAATAAAAGAATATGAATGAGATATTTAATTTGCTGTCATAAATAAACGGTTAAAAATGTAAATAAAAAAGCTTTTCATAAACACTAAAAAGATGATTTGTTCTAAAAGTGCTTAAAATGTCAAAAATATTTTTTTCATAAGTACCATGAGATGATTTGTTTCTAAAAGTACTTAAAAAACCAAAAATACTTTATAATTGTTCATTCAAACAAATTTAAAAACAACTTTTAAATTAAATAAATTAAAAATAACTTTTAAATTAAATAAATTAAAAACAACTTTTTTTAAACTAATCTAAAGAGAACTTTCTTTCTAACCAAAAGAAAGAATGAAAGAAAAAAAAACCTTTCTAGTGTTCACATTTTTTTAAAAATATTAATATTTTTTACTTAGATCATGTTTATTTTATTGATTTGAGTTTAAAATTTAAGTTTTATTACAGTAAAAAAATCTCAGAAACAGTCATATATAACTTTTTTGTTAGAGTAAAAAATTTTCATATAAAGTTACATCTCAATTCAAATTAAAAACTCGAATCAGCAAACTAAATAAACTCTTATTAACACTGTATTAAGTCTGATTAAAAATTAAATCACATAAAAAAGTAATATACAGCTAATAAATAGGAAGATCACTGTTCTAAAAAAAAAAGAACACCTGATAAATTTCCCAAAAAAAAAAAAAATTTTATCCTTCCACCCTGTTGAACTTGAGCAGGTTGAATTCACTTCTTGTCTAAGAACATCAATCGTGCTTTTTGTAGAATTTAGTTCCTCTGATTGTTGAGCTACTGCAAGAAAAAAGAAGAAAGATGGCAGATCTATTTTTGTCTCCAGTTTTAGTTGTGATCGTTGATAATAGAGCCTTAAGAATTTGGTTGTCAAAGCTCAAGGAGGTTGATTATGAAGCTGAAACTCTGCTTCTCCTCTTTTCTGTTGATTCTCTTCCAAACGTAAAATATGCTGACAAGGTCAAAGAGATACTTCATGCTTTGGAGATGGCAGCTGATGAGGGGCTTCGCTTCAATTTGAATAAGGGTAATATAGTTCACAGAGAATCGGATGGAAGGCTGGAAACAAGCTCTTTTTTTCTCGATCGTGAAGTTTTCGGAAGAGAGAGAGAAAAAGTGGAGATAGTCAAGCTGTTGTTGTCTTCTGAAACAACAACCATAGGAGGAGAAGCACAATGTATCCCGATAGTCGGGATGGGAGGGCTGGGAAAGACAACTCTTGCGCAATTAGCATACAACGATCATGAGGTAAGGCGCCATTTTGATTTCCAAGTGTGGGTTTTTGTTTCTGATCAGTTTGATGTCAAAAACATAATGAGAACAGTGATTCACTCTCTCTCCAAAGATAATTCTCATTATCCGACTTTAGATACACTCTACTTGGAAGTGCGCGGCGTGTTGCAAAATAAGAGATACTTAATTGTGTTGGATGATGTCTGGACAGAAAACCCGGATGATTGGGACAAACTGAGACCACTCTTTACTGCTGGAATTGATGGAAGCAAAATGTTGATCACCGCCCGCAGTAAAAAAGTTGCTCTTCTGGCCAATTCTCCAAATTCTATGTATTGTTTGAAAGAATTGTCTAAAGATGCTTGTTGGTCTTTGTTTGTGCAACGCGCTTTTCCGCAAGGAGATAAAGAGAACCACCCAGATCTCTTGCCCATTGGAGAGCAAATCGTAAGCAAATGTGGAGGAGTTGCACTGGCTATAAAAGCTTTGGGAAGTCTTCTGAAGCCAAAAAGAAGCGTAAGAGAATGGGAGATTATACGAGATAGTGAGCTCTGGAACTTGGATGAAAGTGAAAACTGAATTCTACCAACCCTGAGGTTGAGTTACTCTCATTTACCACTGCATCTCAAACGTTGCTTTTCATTTTGCTCAATATTTCCGAGAGGTTACGAGTTTAACAAAGCGAAGTTGATCCGTCTATGGATGGCTGAAGGCTTTATTCAATGCAACTCCAACAGCGGGGGGAAAGAGCCAGAGGATGTTGGCAATGACTACTTCAATGATCTTCAATGGATGTCTTTTTTCCAAGAAATGAGACGAGAAGAAAATGGTATTGTTCTTAGATACAAAATGCATGATGTTATTCATGATCTTGCGCAATCTGTTATTGGCTCAGACTGTATTATACTAGACCGTGGACGTCCAACTCCAACTAGCTTAAAAAAAAACTCGTCACTTGGCTGTTCTTTGTGATTTTGGGTCATCTGCATTCTGCTATCCGGAAGTGTTATATGAAGCTGAATCTCATTTGCGAACAATTTTATTGTTTTCTGGAGATAATTTAGTAGTGGTTCCTAAAACATTGCGCTCAATTCTCAAGTGTTTGTTTGTGCTAGATTTGAGTGGCTCTGGCCTCAGGATTTTGAAAGGTTGGATTGGTGATTTATTACATTTGAAGTACCTCGACTTATCTCATGCCCGTATAAAGAAGTTACCACGTGAAATAGAAGGCCTCGTTTCTTTAGAAACTTTAAACTTATTTCATTGCTATGATCTTATTGAGTTGCCAGATCTACGAAAAATGAATAGGCTCAGACATCTTAACAACGATGATTGTAGCTCATTGACTCAGATGTTGAGTAATAAGAAAGCAGTAAGTAGTGACATTTTGTCTTCTCATATTACTCAGCTTCAGACATTGCCATCGTTCGTCGTAGGTGATCTTAATGACTTTTATTATTTGAAAAGTCTCCAGCTTCGGGGTAGTTTAAAAGTTACCCACTTAGAGAATGCAGCCGGCCAGGAATTTCGATCTCAATTTGCCAGAATCGAGTCACTGGGACTCTACTGGGGAACTGATGAGGGTTGCCCGAATATGAATCCCGAAGAGGAATGTGTTTGCTTCCAGTACCAAGGAAGACAAAAGACTTCATCATCACGTAAATCTCGAAGAAAGATACCTGATCCTTTCCAGGCAGAATTGTTGCTTGACAACTTCAAACCAGCAGATTCTCTTTAAAGACTTCTAATAAAAGGCTACCCAGGGTTCAGGTTTCCTAATATGATTCCTAGTGGTTTGCATGAGCTCGACTTGATTAGCTGCAGACGCTGTAAAAATCTTCCTAGCCTTGAAAATATTCCTAATCTCACTAGGCTTTTCCTACAGGCATTTGATGGAGTGAGGAACATTGGCAAAGATTTCGGGCAGCACCTAGCACTCAAAGAATTAGCCCTCATCGATTTTCCTAACCTCAAAACATGGTTAAGTCCAGGTAGTGGAAGACCTGTTTTCCCCAATTTGAGAAAACTATTTCTCAATAAATGTCCGTTGCTTGTTATAATGCCACAAGTTTTGTCTATCCAGCATTTGGATTTACAAGTTTGTAATGCACTTTTACTTGATTCCTTTCCAAATCTAACATCCCTCAAAACACTTGTGATTCAGAGAGTCCCAAATTTGCTTCATTTCCCTGCAGTATTTCCTTCGAATAACCCTTTTCTGACAACACTGGAAATTAAATCTTGTTCTCGGCTTCGTTTTCTGCCTGACAAATTTGGTAATCTTGCTGCTTTGAAATCGGTGACAATTCAATGGTGTGAGAATCTCCTCTCTTTGCCACCGAGTTTGCACAACCTCAGTGCTTTAGAGTCCTTGGAGATTGGTGATTGCCACAGACTAACATGCCTGTCACCTGGCTGGACTAGAGGCTTAGGTAGCCTTCGATCTTTGTCGATTGGGAACTGCAGCAAATTGTCTTCTTTATCAATGGAATGCCAATAGCTCACATCCCTCAAAAACTTGACGATCATGTACTGTCCAACTATTGGTACATTACCTGAGGGTGTCAAACACCTCACTGCGCTTCAACGTTTGAGCATCTTGAATTTTCCAGAGCTCATGTATCTACCAGAGGGGTTACAGAACCTCAATGTACTCCATAGTCTCGAAATCGGAAGCTGCCCAATCTTAAAAGTTTTGCCAGGGTGGATAGAGAAGCTTGGTTCATTGAGATCTTTAACAATTTCAAATTGTCAGGATCTTAGATCTTTACCTGAAGGCCTTAAGTGTCTTACTGCACTACAATACATGTCGATTCATGATTGCCCTCGACTTCTAGAAAGGTGCAGACAAGAAAGCGGTGAAGATTGGCCAAAGATAGCCCATGTCCCACACAAAAACATAGGAATACCGAAGCTAAAGCGTCCAAGAGAAGAAGGCAGCAGTTCTGCGAATTAGTACAAAGTGCAACTTTCATAACCATCAAGTACGCGATCCACCTCTAATCCTTCTCTACTAGTTTGCACTTGCTCCCTGCAAATACTATTCTGATTTCTTTGTTATTATTATACAATACAAAATAGTCACTCTTGTTTATTACTTTGGTTAAGGTTGAATAGCCATCATTGATTCTTTTTTAACCTACTATTTCTACGTATCCCTTTTTTGTAGTTGAGACTTTCTTGCAGGTTATTCTTACCAAGTTATCATTTTACCATTTTAATCATGTATGCCATAATTCTTTAGTAAGGTCGGCAACATCTTTATAATCATCCTTGTATTCTATATATAAATCAAAATGATAATCAACATGTTTTCCTATTGTACAAAATTTTAAAATTATTTAACAAAGTCCATGTTTCGTGTAAATTCTCACTACGAAATCTGAAGCTGGTTTTATAAATATTGTTCAACATATTCCTTAATAGGTGCCAGTTTCTCTATTGGATTTTAGATTAATGGCAAAGGGGCATTTTGATAAGGTGTTGAATTAGGTTGAGCTCAAATTGACAAAATCCTTAGGCTTACAACCAAAATTTCTTAATTTGACGCCACACTAGCCCATGAAAATTGAGCATTATGGAATTTTGAGCCAATCCCAATTCCATGGTCTCAGTAGAGGAGATTTTTATCTTAAACAGTGATCCCTCAATTAGAACATAATTTTATCTACCAAAAAAGTCAAAAGAGCATAAATACAATGAATCAGTGTTTGGTTTAGATGATTCGGAATCATGATTCGGAATCTGATGTGATGTTTTAAACTAGCTCAAATTATGATTTTAAAACCACCCCCCTCTTGATTCAAGGTGATTCAAACCCCTAATTCTGAAACATAATTTCAGAATCATGATTTGAACCCAAAATCATGAATCATGGTTATGGTTCCAGAATCATGATTAGAATCACCCTGGTTTGAATCCTCATACTAAACGAACCTTAATGGGGTGTTTGGTATGAGGATTCGTGTTGTGGCTCGTTACAGTGTTTTCTCTCACAAAAAACACACGTAAACCGAGAATGATTCTGAGGCATGGTTATGAATCTACAAAATGATTTGTAGCTACCTTTGTTTCTTTTTCTGTCCTTTTTTTTAAAACATCTAATTGGTTTGGCTTTTATCTACAGAAAACTCTGACTAAATTAATTTCTTGTAGACAAGTATGCAGCTCTGTTCCAAAGCTTTTGATCCTACCCTCAGCTCGTTTGCAAATTTTATGGAGCTAGCAAACCAAGCAGCGCTCGCAGATTAGCTTCCTATGTCATTCATTCTGATGATTTGAAGTGGTGATTCTCTACTCCAGATATTTGCAATTCTAATGTAGCAAGGGATACTGTGGATTTTCCAATTTTACATTTGTTAATTAGCAGACTCTTCTTTTTTGAGTGGATGGGTACTCTTTTTCCTTTCTAGAGTTTTTCCCTAAGTTGGGTTTTATCTAGAAAAGGTTTTAATGAGGCCTGTTTTGTGGTTTTCTTGCGAGATGTAAGTTTCGGCTTTATTCTTCGTGAGAAACCTCCATCTTTCAGTTGTTTTCCTTTTAGCCAGATTGGTCCCTTTTTTTTTTTTTTTTTGTTAAAACATGGTTCGTTAACTAAGTTTTCGTTCAGTTGAACATGTTTCTTTAGTAGAGTGTGGACTTGATACTTGTGTGGTTGTGATCATAATTTGTTTCTTGGTGATGTAATCCAAGATTACTGAATCAGATTTCAGACCAGATTACAAGTTGTTCATTTAATCTTCCGTTGTTTTGTTCTCTGTTCTTGCAATCAGCTTTTGTGCTTCTGTTTTCTCTAGTATCTGAAACATTAAACATTTGGTTATCTGTGCGCGCAAAGCCAAGAGTTCTTTCATTCGTTTTCTTTTTTATCACCAGTTGATCAGGCAAACAAAGAATATATTAGCCATCTGCTTGGACCAATTTTTGACTGCAAAGCGTTTTCAAAATTTCTAGAAACTTCACCTCTTAACTGAACAAACAACGGAAGATCAAAACTTTAGCATCAAGTTTTAGATTGTTACTTACAGATCTAGGGGACTGAAGCTTGGGGCTGATGGTTCCAATTTCTATGTTTTCTTTTATTCTGTTTCTGTTTTATTTCTCTGATTTTTGAAGTTCTTCAGTTTTTTTTTTTTTCTTGTTTTTTTTTTTGTGTGTGCGCGTGGATATTTTGGCCTTTTTCAGTCAAAATTAGTAAGAAGATGTGTATCGATTATAAATTTGTACTCGAAGGTATAAATGTTTCACATTTAAAATACAGGGTACGAACTTTTGACAATTTAAAATACATGGTATAAAAATGAAAAAAACAAAATAAGAAATTTGTACAAAATTGTAATATTGCAGCTTTTTCTTCCTTTGTCCGTGGCAGGGTGACCAGGTTGCCGTTGGGGCTAGCCTTTTTATGTTGCTGCTGCTCTCCCCTTTTACTTGATTGCTTTCCTACAACCAAAAAAAGAGAACCAAGAACATCTTTGCTGCCTCTTTTTTAATTAGGTGGTCCCTTAAAAAGAGGGTAGGCCATCTTTGCTGCCTCTTTTTTTTTTTTTTTTTTTTTTTTTTTTTTGGGTTTACGTGTTGGCCTATACTTGTGTTAATCATTTAGCAAAAATTCTACACACTGGCTAGCAAGTACAAATTCAAGCCAATATTGTGATTTTTCATTACTTATCCAGCATTCTAATGCTTGTGGACAGGAATGAATAATTATGTGTGTGTGTGTTATAATAGAACTGGTTAAAAGCAATAGTATTCAAAAAGTGCTTTTAAGTAGTTGTCATTACAATAAGAAAACTGCTTTGTCTTAGTCACGTGTTCACTTGTTAAAAGAGATCAACTAATTCAGACCACAAAACAACAGGATAAAATCATTAATTTGAATGTGATCATAAAAATAAAATGAGTAATCCAATGACACATCTTCTAATTACGTATAGAGCACAAATGAATCAGCTAGTTTGAAGGGCTGCTGGCCTCTTCACTTGGACACCTTTGCTCAGGCGTGCCAATGTGCTTGTATGGAACATGAGCTATCTTTGGCCAATCGTCACCACTCCGTCGTTCACAGCGTTGCACAAGTTTAGGACAATCTTGAATTGACAAATGCTGGAGACAAGTGAGCAGTTCTATTCCTTTAGGTAGACCTTTGATGTTACAACAATCCGAAAATGTCATAGATTTCAATGAAACAAGTTTCTCTATCCAATCTGACAAAGCTTTTAAGCCAGGACAACGGCGTATCACCTTGAAGGTCGTTTAGTTCGCTGATTCGAGTTTTTAATTCGAGTTAAGATGTGACTTTATGTGAGAGCTTTTTACTGTAACAAAAAAGTTAGATATAACTGTTTCTGAAAACTTTTTATTGTAATAAAACTCGAATAAGTGAAATGAGTGGGAGCTGATGGTCAAACTTCGAAGGGCATTGAAGAAAGGTACTCAATGCCATGCGGTAGTTTGCAAAGACTTGGACAATACATAATGGTCAAGTTTTCAGGTACTCAATGCCACGCAGTAGTTTGCAAAGACTTGGACAATACATAATGGTCAAGTTAACTTGGACAATACATAATGGTCAAGTTTTCAGGTACTCAATGCCACGCGGTAGTTTGCAAAGACTTGGACAATACATAATGGTCAAGTTCTCAAGAGATGTGAGGTATTGGAATCCCATTGACAAGGAAGTCGGATTGTTACAGTTTTCAATGGACAAACTTTGAAGATTGCTCAAACCTTGTGTCTCAAGTCCCCAGAAAACAAAATAGGCTGTGGCAATCACCGATCTCCAATGACTCCAAAGCATTGAGATTTTGCAAGCTTGGTGGCAGATTGACGAGTTCTTCGCACCAAAAGATGGCGTGACTCAAAAAAAAGAAAAAAAGAATAGCCAAGGAAACTACAATTTTATGTCAAATAATTACTCTTAAGTCCAAGATATTTTTCTTCCTTTTACACAGTCTAAATGAGAAGGTGTACCGTTTAATGAGAAGTCATATGTGGACCTTCATGAAAACGGCACCGGCGACCAATGATCAGTGGCCGGGGGTCAGAGCCATGGATGGGAGACTGCCTTCCCGGCAATATTTAATAGATTACTGATGGTAATATAGTATATTACTCCTTTGGATGGTGGGGTAACTTTGGTAATACATATATTGTGAACTTTTGGCGAGCTCCTTCAAAAGGGTCAATTATGATTATACGATTGTTTGGAAGTCAATGTTCGAAAAGTGGTTCTCATAAGTGGTATTTTTGCACGTATCCCTAAAGATATTCATGTATAAAGTATTTCTTTCTTTGTATTGATAAAACTCATTTGTCTATGCACGAACAGAGACACGATAAAAGGAAGCGGGAAAAAAATTACTATTATATTTCCTTTAAAAGGAAAGCAGTTGTTATAACACGTGTGATTCTGTAAATAATAAATGAAAATTACAAGCAAGATTGAGCCCATAACCCCCAATGAAAAACCCTCCCCAACCCCATCCCATGCCATCAGAATATATCACTAAACTTATTATCATTTCAATTCTAAATACTTTTTTTTTTTTTTTTTTTTTTTTACTTACCTTTCTAACAATAGTATCTTTCCAAAAGTAATGTAACTAACGAGCAAACTTAGCACGGATAAGAAGGTTTTCATGCAGTTCGTCAACATCATAAGCATGATTCTTGACCTCCCTTCTCTGAGCCGTATTGCCATTTTCACCAACAGCTTGAACTTTGGCTTTCATGTCGTTGTGTAGACCTCGCAGTTCGTTTTTGACGTTCCATGTATCACCGATCTTTTGCATGGCCGGCGAATCGAATCTGTCAAAGACCACCTGAAAAACAGAGGATTCAGCTCCGCTATCTGCCATTATAATTTGGTGCAATGAACAAATTTGATGAATGAGAAAAGTGATGGCTTATTGGAGGGATGATGGTGTAGAAATCAGTTGTCCTATGTCTATACAAATATATATATATATATATATATATAATATGCATGGTTTCGTCAACACAGGAAACCTGCAGGAAAATTCGTTAGCCATTATAATTAGTGAGAAACTTCATATCTTTTGTATTAAATTGACGTAAGTCAATCTCAAAATTTTTAGCTTTTATTTTATATATATATATATATACAAGTTAATGGAGTTTAACGTCTCTTCTCAATACTCCCTCCTGTTTGTTCTACTAAAAGAAAAGAAATGAAACAACAACAAAATTAGGTGACTTGTATGTAGTATTCGTTGCATATTTGTTGTAGATGATATAATTTTTTTAATCTTAATAGGACTCTGGAAATACCTAAGAGCCATTCTTTCCCACGTTAGGTTTTTATCTTCATTTAATTCATAATAAGAATTTTTAACTTAAAATTATGCTTAATCTTTCAAATAAGAGTGTCACTGTATTTAAGGGACGGAAGGTGGCAATCTGCTAAGTTTCTAAGTTTGGTAACAAAGTGAAAAAAATAACTTAGGTTTAAAGAAAATTGCAAAATTTGTCCTTTTTTTAAAAAAATTAATTGACCGCAGAATTGCGTATGCTTAGCTGTTAACAAGTCTACGCATAAGTTAGTATACAGGAAACAATCAAGTCTGCAGGAAAATTCATCAGCCATAAGCATAAAAGTCAAGAAACTTCCGAAGCTTTTTTTTTTTTTTTTTTTAATTAATTGACTTCAAGTCAATTTTATTTTTCTTTTTTTTTTGGTCAATGAATTTTGATGTTCATACGGGAATTTTGTTCTAAACAAGAATGAAATAGAATAAAATAATACAGTAACAACGTTGGCTCGAAATTATGTACACATTGTAGAAAATTTATTAGATATTTCTATTATAAATCACCTCTGTTTCACACTGTTTTTTCTATAGTTATCATTTGCATTAAACCATACTAAAAATTAAAATGGCTAACATTTGAAAAGTCTTCTGTTAAAAGTATTTCCCTCCAATCCTCGCGGAGTCTTCTTAGGTTTTCCAAGCAAAGTTGGTGAGCTTTCTCATAATTTAGTCAAAAAAGGAGTGAAAAATGCAAAATGATTAATTTAACACTGTATATATAATTTTTTGGCCATTAGATCTTCATCAAGATTTTGATGTGATTTGGTTAACTCATTAAAGCGGGTTATGAAAAATTATGCAAAACGACACAGACAAATTAAAAGTTGACCCTCAAAGCATATGGAAGCAGATGGCTTAATCAAATTCAACAGTAAACATATTAACATAGTATTAGGAATTTCATTCCTACATTTTGTTGGTATTTATTATAAAAAATCCTCTATTATTTTGGAATTATGATCAAGTACATTATTTTCTAAAACAATTTGGATAATCTTGACAAATATCCATTGAAAGTGCACGGGTCAGAATTTTTACCTTTTACTTATGATTCATAACATTTTTAGTCAAATAATTACACTAACAAAAGGGTATTTATCAAGAGTAAAAGGTAAAAATTCAAACTTATGCACTCTTAAAAATAAATTATCCATTTTTTCAATCAATATATTTTCCTAAAATACTAGGCCTTAAACATTTTTATTTTTCTTTGCTTTTCCAAGGAAACGCGCTATCCCAACAAAGTTTTAAATTTAACTAGGAAAAAAAAGGATAGAGTTTTACATTTTCTTTTGTTCTCAAAATATCACTCAGTTATTGTTACCAACAAGTTTTCAAAAGACAGTTATCAATCGGATTCAAATTTTCCCAAAAAAAAAAAAAAAAAAAAAAAAAAAAAAAAAAAAAAAAAACACACACACACACACATAAACTAGAGAATTAACCAATAATTCTTCTCTTTACAACAATATTTCTCCAATGCCTCTGTTTAAGCTGTTCACAAAAACTAGCTGGCTGGATTTTCATATACACTTTGAACAATTTAAGTGCAATCACTTTAGAGTTGTAAAAATAGAACATAAAAGAGAAGGCTTGATTTCTGTTAGTAAGTCTGTTGTCTCTTCAGAAATGCAATTGCCCCAGCCGAAACAGTGGCTTCAAGAAATCAATATACAATTATTCAAATGATTACTTTTCAAATAAAAGAAAAGAAAAGAAAGAAAAATTATAGATTCCACATAATGTGGTTTTATGATTTAATTAAAACTATGGTCTATTTGCAGTTGAATAAGCCACCTTCATGTCACGGAGTTGTAAAAAGCCCCCTACGTAATATTGAGGCAAAAATGAGCAGCCCGTAACATTCGGCATCCTTGTCTTTTTTTCCCATCTCTTCTTCAGAACGTAAAATTCAGCTTCTTACAGACATTCCTATGCACATTGTTAGACTCGAAACAAAATTTCGCCGAGCAAAGATGCAAATGTCAACATTTTCTTTTTTTCTCCTCTCACTGCTCATCCATATTTTGTATGCGAGAGATTGATGGCTCTTCTACCATTGTCACCTTTCCTTCATCAACACTGGAATCAATTGGGAGACCATTTCTTTTTTCCAGATTACAGTATAAAACGCCATCATATTCTGAACTCATAGATTCTTGGAGCTCTGGATCATGCTTTGCTTGATCAACTTTCCCCTCGGACTTCAAGACATCAATCCTGACTGTCTGGTTTGCCCTTGATGAATTGTCCTTGGACAAAGTCGATGCAATGGGCACTTGAACACCATTAAAATCAGAAACTCTCACCTTGTGAAACAAAACCCTTTTAGTCACACATCTTGGTTCTACTGCTTACCAAGTCTATTAAGAAGATATTTTGTCAACAGAAACAAGGATTTCTAGCATTTGTACCCCTACACTTTTCATAACAATTTCATCCTTGAACTTTTTTTCTTGGCAATTTAATTTTTGAATTCCCAAAAGAGTGTCAGTTAATTCCAATAGCTCACTAGCGTTAGGAAACTTTGTGACTAATTCAAGGGATAAATTGCCAAAAAAAAAAAAAAAAATGATTTTTAAGGGACAAAAGTGCCAAAGCATGAGAAGTTCATGGTGTTTGGTGCTAAAAAAATTACAAGTAGTTCGACCAAAATGTAACTCCCGTTAATGAGAATTGTTAATTGCTACTATTTTTAAATTTCAAGAACTAAATTGCCAAGAAAAAATTCAGGGGCAGAGGTGCTAAAACACCAGAAACAAATACGTAATGTCGAGCGAATATATGCAGACAAGGTTCAGGGTTGACTAATTTTTTCTTTTTCATTATTTTTTAGTCGTTTTCAGTTTTCACAAACAAGCAAAGTACTACATGCACTTCAATAAATATGTAAATACCTGTAAAGGCTTCATAATTTCAGTGTTCCGATCGTCAGCTTTGCCAAGTGAATCTTCAGCTTGTAGCTCCATGGAGTCGCGAACAAGCTGACTAAGAAAGTTCACATCATCGGACATGGCACCGAGCCCCGTCAAAAGTTTGGACCCCAACTGCAAACTTGTCTGCAAGAATTTGTATAGCGTAGTCTCCAGGTTAGAATACAGTTTCCTTTCTTGTTATATATTCAAATATGAAGAAAGAAAAGAAAAAAAAAAGGATTGTTTCTACCTCTGCATTTTCCAGAATGGCATCTGTTGCTCCTGCTTTCTTCAGATCTAAAAGGTGTCTGAGGTCCTGAGCTCTGGCATAAATGGGAATCTGCCATGTCGAGTTTCATCGTAGAATCAGAAAAATAAGTGACGGTAGCTATCCATGAACAAAAATTCATTTCACTAAAACTCCATTCATATAAAAGTTGCACACAACAACAAATTCTGTAAAGAGTAATGATTTAGATCCCAACTCTTACACCAACTATCATGGAAAATGCATTTCCATGCTACAATTGATAAATGTCATTATATTTGTATATAAAGCTCACCAATTGAAGGATGGAAATTCACTTGCTGCATCAGCTGGTATAAGAGGTGAGATGTGTAAATTGTTCTATAAATTGCAAGTATCCAAGCAAGCTAGCACCTCTTGCATGCCTACCACAGCATGATTTCTCTAACACACTTCAAAACTTGCGCATCTCGAGCGCTCATTTTCATGTGCGTGCATGTAGGTGGATAATCATTGAGAGAGAGAGAGAGAGAGAGAGAGAATTACTCCGGGAAAAGCACTGTGAAGCCTTTGAACAGCTTCAATTGTCCTTTTCTTCCCTGTGTACATGACCATAACAGCTTTTGGAGAAGAGATGCCAGCAGACTGCAAAACTGATGGACGTGATCCATCCCCATAGAGAATTGGAAACCCGAGTTTCCTAGATGCCTGTGGATGCAACACCAAAAAAACAAGAGTTCAGTGCCTCAATATGCACAGAACTAATCTTTTCCTGCATATCAAGAAGTGAAGGTATAACTTTTTAAACCTAAGAAAATATGAGTGTCTTTAATGTATTATCAAAAGTTTCTCGGGACTAAAAAAAGATAAATATCGTTCTCATTGACCTTCACTACAGAAGGATCTAGATCAAAAGCCACATATGGCCATGCCACAAGATCGCCATCTACGCCAACAGCCAGTGGACTGGATAAGAAATTGGCAAGGACCTGCACATACAAGAGGTGAGATTATTCTGTTGGAACTTTAGAGCTTTAAGCTAAGCTAAAATGATGGTTGTTAGTGCAGAATAAAAATAGCACCTGACCCATTTGTCCAAACCCAAGGATTACAACAGGTTCACTAGCCTCAAAGTTCACCATTTCTTCAGTTTCCTGTGAAAGTTTTTATCAAATAATTTAAGTACAGTGCAATTCAGCTGAAGAAATGGGAATATAATGAATGTATAGAATGTCCATGCACGAGAACTGTATATGTATGTAACCAGAGTAATTTAAGATTTGAAATCAAATTATTGTGGTCCTTAATATACTCAAGAAAGCAACCACTAAAGAGAACATTGGAAAGAAGACCCACGGAATTTTTACCAAGATGCCATCTTTCTTTTTTTTTTTTTTTTGTCATTTCATCAAATGTACATACATCCTCTGCATTGAATTTGTCATCAATGATTTCAGCAGCCTTTCTTCCAGCTTCATTAAGTGCCGGTGTTAATGCCATGGACAAGACAACAACAATTATAAGCAACTTGTTCAGCTCAAGTGGCAGCACCCCAAGCCTAGTTGCAACAACAGAAAAACGATGTCACAAAAAAAAAAAAAAAAAAAAAAGGATTGGAAATTTGTCAGAGAGATTTGCAATTAATACTTTAAACCCACCTGTTTGCAAGAGAAAAAACCACAAATCCAAATTCACCTCCTTGAGATAGGAGCAATCCAATTCTTACACTTTCTTGTAGAGTTAGTCCAACACGAGGACCTATTGCGGTTATGATCAGCGTCTTGATGACAATCAAGCCTGCGAGTAGTGAAAGTACGTTTGGCCATTCTCGGAAAAGAAGCTGCACAAGAAGAGAAAACCCACTTAAGAAAATATTAAGATCATTCTACTTTTGCATTGTTATGTTAGAACCAAAGGGAAACACACATTTTCCAAAACATCCTCTATGAGCTCTTTTTCCTCTCAAAAGATCACTCTAGTTTTCCTGAGATATGGACTGGTAAATCTTTTAATGTTAGTACCTGCATGTCAATGGAAGTTCCAGTAGTTACAAAAAATAATCCAAGGAGTAAGCCTCTAAATGGTCTAATATCGGCTTCAATCTGTGTTCGGAAATTTGTTTCTGCTAATAATGCTCCAGCCAAAAATGCACCAAGCTGCACGTGAAAATAATAAAGGGTTACACATAAAGATCAGCCATGAATCTCAAACATTCTCTATCTATGAGAAAAGATGCCTAACCGTGTCACTAAAACCCAACTGCTGGGTCATAAGTGAGGTCCCAGCAACTGTCAGTAGACAGAGAGCAACAAAGGCCTCAGAGCTCCTCGCTTCCGCAACAACCTGAGCATTAAAAACTAATCAAGTTCTCTAGCAAATAAATACAAGTGTAGGACTTTTGCTGGTATTGATGTCTAGGCACACCTCAAAAACTCGCCTAAGAAGGAATTTTCCACCAAGAGAAAGCAGACCCAGTCCACCTAAAGCCTTTAAACTTTCTTTAGCAAGCATTGGCCAAAGACTATCCTCTACTAGGTTCTGCAGAAAAAGAGAAACAGAGCAATATGTTCAATTACTTGAATGCATCTTAAAAAAGACAAGATGAAGGAATTAAGTTTACGAGAATAAAGTTGAAGCGTAACAAACTGTTGTTCACAAAGGAAAAATGGCTTAAAACAATAATGGAAAAAAGAAGATAATAGAATTATCAGCATACTATTTTGTATGAACACCCCCTGAATTTTTTGAATTTGGCAATTTAGTCCCTAAGATTTTTTTCTTGGCAATCAACCCTAGAACTTTTAATTTTTGGCACTTTTAGTCCTTGTTGCTCAAATTCGTTAAAATTTTGATGGTTTTTTGTGCCAAACTTACAAGTGACAACCTAAGAAGCGTATTGATGATATTTTTGTTTGGTATTAACAAAATTTCATGTTAAAATTGAAGTTAAAGTTAAAGTTATAATTAAATTAAGTTCAGGTTTTTAAATGTATTTGTATTGAAACTAAACAAAAATGAACATCAATGCCCTTATTACGCTATCATTTGCAAGTTATGTGTAAAAAACCGTCAAAATTTTAACAAATTTGAGCAACAAGGGTTGAAAGTGCCAAAAACTATAAGTTCGGGGTGTTAATTGCCAAGAAAAAAAGTTTAGGGACTAAATTGCCAAATTTGAAAATTTCAGGGGGTGTTTGTACAAAATAGCCATATCAAAAACAAAATAGCAAAAATCCAAAATCGGGCTAGTCTGAGTTTGAGCAATTGCTAGCTAAAGTTGCACTCATGGCCCCACAGGGGGTAGATAAAGCCACATCTGATAATTGCATTTTCACTTAAAACATGGCAACAAAGTTACCTGGCTCTCTAGCACTGGAAGTATGACCAAGAGAGGGACGACCGCAATGTCCTGCACATGTCAAGCATTAAATGGTCCAAAATGTTATTGGCATCACTTTGACATAAATTTGCATGAGGACCCTAGTAAAATGAAGGACCAAATATAAGAAAAAACACTAGCACCATCGACCATATTTCGATTTAACAATCTATAGATAATCTAATCCTGTCTAATTTATTAAAAAAGATAACCCAATTGTGGCTCTAAAAGAAGAACCAAGAGTAGAACCTGTAAAAGTAGTATTCCCAGGGTTGCTGAGCCAAATCTTGTCGGAAGCTCACCTTTCTCTGCGAGTAGCTACAGATAACGAACATGTCAAATTCTGAAAAAAAGTTGATGTAATACAGTGGGGATATTCTAGTAACTTCTAATTGCAAAGTAGTGTCTGATATGTAAATACTAAGAGACTGAAAGACTTGTTATCTGATCAAACAAATATTTTTTACGCATCTAAGAATAGAATACCTGTAGAACAAAAGCTGAAGAAGATAAGGAGAGAGCAGCACCAATCACAACAGCCTCATCAACGCTTCTTATATTGACCTGCCACAGTAACATTTATTTCGAGTTTTTAGAAAGTTGAAAAACATTTTCAGTAATCTGCATCTTGACTTCAGTAGCCACAATGGCTGAAATTTCTATCAATTGGAAAATATGACAAACATTAACAAAGAAGTGGTTGATACAACATCCAAGATGAATAAAATCTTGATAACTTATGCCAAATCATGTTCCTATCACTTTCAGGCATTATAATTTGCCAAAGAACAAATGTTGTCTGAAATTCCAATCCAGCAAATGAACAGGAAGCTATTCAAAATAATAAATAACAATTATCAGTTACAGAAAAGACTAAAGATGCATAGAGAATTCTCACCAAGTCAGGCCTTGAATGAAAAAGGAACTCCAGAATTTTTGTTCCGATAGCCCCATTAGGAGGAAGTTCGAATGCCGTGAAAGCAAGTGTAGACAATATGACCTTCAAGACGAAGCAAAAAAATCAGTATCATACAGTCTAATGCTCATTCAGCATCCATAGAGCAAGTATTTCACTCTCCAAACACATACAGTTGGAAAGAGAAGCAAAACATGTAAGACAGCATAAATTGGTTCAAAAGTGTGTTTAGAAAAAACATAAATTTTTCGCTTCAGCACTCTTTTTAATAAGCTTTAAGTATATTACAAACCCATAAAAATCTGCTGAAATCATTTTCATGAGTCTCTCGCACATAGTACAATGGTCAAAAACGTCGATCATGGAAACTCTTTTATTTAACCCTCATAGGATCAATAGAGTAAATTAATACATTTGTCTTAATGCACTAAGATAGATGATCCCAGACTCAAATTGTAAGAGTAATAAAATCCATGTGGAAAAACCCGAGTGATTGAAGAGGAATCCAGTTACTTTCCTTATTTGACTATGTGTAAATTAGTTTCCTGATTTTTAGAATTATATTAGGTATGTTTCTAGGATAATTAGAAGTATGTTTCTCTTTTATTTTAGGAAAGAATCACCGGGATTTCTCCTTGAGTGATTAAGGTCTTCGATTCTTCTCTATTTAAAGAGAAAGAATGATTGTAAAAAGTGTCATATGAAATGAAACAATTTCATCTTTTCTCTCAAATACCTTGATGGTATTAGAGCAGGAATAATCCCTTATTCCTTATGGCGAAAACCGCCATGACAGGGGCTTCTCGTGAAGCCACCTCCGACACAACTAGCGAGCACATCTCGCCAACAACTCAGAACTCCCAAGGAGGATCACAACAAATCATCAATGTCAGTCACTGCAGATCACGCAGCATAAGTTAAACGGAGCCAATTATGTTGAAGGGTCCCAATCGGTCATCCTTGTTATTGATGGAAAAGGACGACTAGAAAACCGCCTGAAACAGGGACACCGGCATACAAGAAGTGGAAATCGGAGGACTCAATGGTGAAGGCATGGCTGTTAAACTCAATGGAACCTGCAATTAGCCGAGTCTATCTTTACTACAAGACAGCGACTGCAATTTGGGAGATGGTAGAGGAGATGTATTCAGATCTTGGGAATTCAGCCCAAATCTTTGAAATAAAGTCAGCCTTAAGAGAAAAAAGGCATGGTAATCTTAGTGTCACCGAATACTATAATGAATTACAAGTATTGTGGCAGGAATTAGATTTGTATCAGGATTTCAATTGGAGCTGCTCCACCGATAGTGCAAAATTCAAGAAGATGCTTGATAAAGAACGAGTTTTTGACTTCCTACTCGGACTCAACAAGGAACTAGATGAAGTTCATGGACGTGTGCTTGGTTTCAAACCATTCCCCGAAATTAAGGAGGCCTTTGCAGAAGTGAGACGTGAAGAAGCACGAAAAAGAGTGATGCCCAGCCAAAGGAGAAAAACATGCAGCCTATTATAGAACCTCCACACCAAGAGTTAGCTTTGGTTGTTAGAAAAAATCCTAGTTCCAGTGGAGATGGCCGAAATCAGAGGAGGAATGATAGACCATGGTGTGATCACTGCAAACGTAATGGACACACAAAGGACACATGCTGGGAGATTCATGGGAAGCCGCCAGATTGGAAACCAACAAGAGAATGCTAGCGCCTGCGACAACCTGGTGAAGGCTGAGGCTTTGCAGCCTCATCTGGAGGAAGTGATAAGGTTGTAGAAAGCAGCACTGGTTCGGCATTCAGCAAGGAGCAGTTAGAGCAGCTTCAAATGCTCGTCACAGCGAGCACCGGCAACATCTTCCACAAGGCCAACAGCAACAGTAGCACAAAGGTAATTTTCTCTCCGCTCTAACAACCAAAACTACGTGTAAAGATGTTTGGATTGTTGATTCGGAGCTTCAGATCACATGATCAATTGTAAGAGTCTTTTCTCAGAGTTCAATACTAGTAACGATGGTCTAAAGATTAAAATTGTTGATGGCTCATTAGCATCCATAACAGGAAAAGGAACAGTGAGAATATCGGATTATATAACATTGCATTCTGTGTTATATATTCCAACTATTGCCTGTAATCTTTTGTCCATTGCAAAGTTAACAAGAGATATGAACTGCTCTGCTAAGTTCTCTCATTCTTTGTGGGAGTTTCAGGATTTACTTTCGGGGAGGACGATTGGCAGTGCTAAGGAATGTGATGGGCTATAACTATTCGAAGGTTCTCCACTTTCCAAGAATAAACATGGTCACGCTTTGAGTTGTAATTCTGCTTCTGTTTCCAATGAAATTATGTTATGGCATAATAGACTTGGTCATCCTAGTTTTCTATATCTAAAAAAGTTGTTTCCTTCATTGTTTGTCAATAAAGATGTTCACTCGTTTGTCTGTGAAACATGTCAGTTTGTAAAACATACCCGTGTTCCCTATCATTTACAAATTTATAAAATCTCTAAACCTTTTTCACTCATTCATAGTGATGTTTGGGGGCCTTCAAGAATAAGTAATATATCTAGTGCACGCTAGTTTATAACCTTTATTGATGATCACACTCGAGTTTGTTAGGTATTCCTTTTGAAAGAAAAGTCAAATGCCACATTGATTTTCCAACAATTTCATAAAATGGTGGAAACCCAGTTTCAAACAAAAATCCAAATTCTTCGTACAAATAATGGACGAGAATACTTTAATAATACTTTCAGTCCTTATATAGCAGAAAATAGAATAATTTATCAAAGCTCTTGTGTTGACACCCCTTAACAAATGGTGTTGCAGAACGTAAGAACAAATGCTTACTTGAAATGGCTCGTGCACTCATGTTCAATAATAATGTTCCCAAATCTTTCTGGGGTGAAGCAGTTCTTACATCGTCCTATCTGATCAATCGTCTTCCATCTCGTGTCCTTCAGTATCAAACACCTTTAAACATTCTTCGTCAGTCTTATCCTCAATCTCGCCTATTTCATAATCTTCCTCTCAAAACTTTCAGGTGTACTGTTTTTGTTCATTCAACCTCCCCTCAGCTAAGCAAATTTGATCCTAGAGCTGTCAAATGTTTTTTCTTGGGCTACTCTCCAAATAAAAAAGGGTTTACGTGTTACTGTCCAAGCACACGAAAAGTATACACATCCATGGATGTTTCTTTTTTCGAAGATCAAGTACTACCCCAAATCTACCTTTCAGGGGGAGAGTGACAGTGGAAGGCAGCTTTAGGATTTTTCCATTGAGTCAGAGTCGGAGTTGGAGTCTCTTACCCCACCGGTTAAAAGTCCTGTGTTACCTATTGTGCTATCTAATGATTTGGAAACAGGTGGAGAATCACATGTGCAAACCACACAAAATGAACCACAAAAGGAATCACAAAAAGAACTTCATGTTTATTCTAGGCGGGGTGGACAATCTCAAAGACAGCAGAAGCCTATCACTACTCCAGAGCATTGTCAAGAGCCTGAACCGAAGGTAAACACACAAATGATTGAGACAGGTTTTGTCCCTCAGAAATCTGGAGCGGATGAAAGTCAGTCAGTTGAGCAAGAGCAGTTTGTCAGTGATCTTGATGTTCCTGTTGCTCTTGGGAAAGGTACTCGAACCTGTACTCAGCACCCTCTCTACAACTTCATGTCATTCACTCATCTATCTCCTGCTTTCCGAGCTGCAACAGAGAAGATTTCAACAGAAGAGACCCCTAGAAGTATTCATGAGGCGCTGACAAAACCACAGTGGAGGAAGGCTATTTTAGAAGAAATTGAGGCCTTAAAAAGGAATGGCACGTGGACAGTTGTTGAGCTACCTAAAGGAAAATGTCCAGTTGGCTGCCAATGGGTGTTTACTATCAAACATAAGTCAAATGGTTCGGTAGAGAAAGGTATAAGGCACGATTGGTAGCGAAGGGTTTCACACAAACCTTTGGAGTTGATTATAATGAGACATTTACACTGGTTTCTAAACTTAACACGATTAGAATCCTACTCTCACTGGCTGCTAATCTCGACTGGCCTCTGCATCAGTTGGATGTAAAACACGCATTCCTGAATGGAACTCTTGAAGAAGAAGTGTATATGGATTTACCTCCAGGTTTCGAGGGAGAGTTTGGTTGTAATAAGGTGTGCAGATTGGAGAAGTCTCTCTACAGGCTGAAACAGTCTCCTAGAGCATGGTTTGATCGATTTACTAAGGCAGTTAGGAGTTTTGGCTTTCACACAGGGGCAAGCTAATCATACCCTCTTTTATAACACTCTGGTGGTAAGGTTTCAATTTTAATAGTATATGTGGATGATATCATTCTAACATGAGACAACCTTGTGGAGTTATCTGAGTTGAAAAAGGTGCTGGCTAAAGAATTTGAAGTCAAGGATTTGGGACAGTTGAGATACTTTCTGGGAATGGAAGTGGCTCGCACGCGAAAAGGTATTTCTGCTTTTCAGAGAAAATACACTATTGATATCTTAAAGGAAACCGGTATGCTAGGGGCAAGACCATCCGAGACACCGGTGGAAGTGAATGGATTTGGAAAGAAAAAGGAGTTAGGAGATTGAAAGCAAGAATCATGCTTTCTGTTTTTCTATTCAATAAATATTCTGTACATAAGGCTTCTATTTATAATACAATTATGAAAAACAAATCTCCTAAAATCGTGGCCTAGAGATTAGGAAAGTTATCTACTGAATCAAATCAAATCAAGAAACAACTTATCCTAAATCCGGAAACTGATTCTAAGCCTAAAATTCGGGATTTCAACACTCCTTCTCAAGTTGGATCATAAATGTTAATCATGTCCAACTTGTTTAAGAAATCATCGAATTTTTGTCTTATGAGCCCTTTGGTGAAGATGTCTGCCGTCTGGTCTTGAGTAGGAACGTAGGTCATGCAAATGATTCCCTTCTCCACTTTCTCTTTGATGAAATGTCTATCAACTTCCACATGCTTGGTTCTGTCATGTTGGACATGATTAAGAGATATGTTAATTGCTGCTTTGTTATCACAGTAGAGTTTAACTGGGAACTCTACTGTGACTTGAAGTTCTTCTAGGAGTTTTTTCAGCCAT